TTTTACCATTCAAACATGCTCAAATTCAAGAAATACATCAATTATAACCATGTTTTCTACTGTTTGCCTTGTTTTTTGGGTTATGAATCAAGGGCTAAGCTTCTTGTGGTCGTCTCTTATGAAGATTTTTGTTTATATACCCTTTCCTTATTATATTTTACAATTTGACATCTTGTCTCTTCTATATTCTTTTGCTGTGAATAGAAATCGATTCTTAAGATAATAACCATGACGATAATTACCAGGAGGAAACAGTGCAACCGGAGCGATTGCTGGTGGCGTTGCTGCAGGTGCTGCATTACTTTTTGCAGCTCCAGCAATCGCATTTGCGTGGTGGCGTCGTAGGAAACCCCAAGAAGTTTTCTTCGACGTTCCTGGTCGGTGTTTTTTCCTTGAAATTTTTTTTGATGGACTTGGTTTGCCTCATTGATTCGTTCATTATTATATCGCTATGCAGCCGAAGAGGATCCGGAAGTGCATCTGGGACAGCTTAAAAGATTTTCACTGAGAGAGCTACAAGTAGCTACTGATAGTTTTAGTAACAAGAACATACTTGGTCGGGGTGGATTTGGTAAGGTCTACAAAGGTCGATTGGCAGACGGTTCTTTAGTCGCCGTAAAAAGACTCAAGGAAGAACGTACGCCTGGTGGAGAGCTGCAGTTTCAAACAGAAGTAGAGATGATCAGCATGGCTGTACATCGGAACCTGCTACGTCTACGTGGATTTTGCATGACGCCAACCGAACGACTTCTTGTTTATCCCTACATGGCCAATGGAAGTGTTGCGTCTTGCTTAAGAGGTACCTTCTTTTACGTTTGGATCGCCTATTCAGATCGTCTTAAATCTAAATAAGATTCATATATGTTGTTTTCTTATCGGTTTAGAACGACCACCATCCCAACCACCTCTTGATTGGAGAACGAGAAAGCGAATAGCATTGGGATCAGCAAGAGGGTTGTCTTATTTACACGATCACTGTGATCCAAAGATCATTCACCGTGATGTAAAAGCTGCAAATATTTTGCTAGATGAGGAGTTCGAAGCTGTCGTAGGTGACTTCGGGCTGGCCAAACTCATGGATTACAAAGATACTCATGTCACCACCGCGGTACGTGGTACAATTGGACATATAGCTCCTGAGTATCTTTCCACTGGTAAGTCCTCTGAGAAAACAGACGTTTTCGGGTACGGTATCATGCTTCTAGAGCTTATAACTGGTCAAAGAGCTTTTGATTTGGCTCGACTCGCCAATGACGATGATGTCATGCTACTCGATTGGGTAAGTGTTTATTATTAATTACTTGGGGTGGGGGGACAGTGAAAGTGAAGGGAGTGTAAATATATATACATATGTTTTGGATGTATAATAGGTGAAAGGACTTCTGAAAGAGAAGAAGCTAGAAATGCTGGTTGACCCTGACCTTCAGAATAACTATGTCGAATCCGAGGTCGAACAGTTGATTCAAGTAGCGCTACTCTGCACACAAGGCTCCCCGATGGACCGACCGAAGATGTCGGAGGTGGTTCGAATGCTGGAAGGAGACGGGTTGGCAGAAAGATGGGATGAGTGGCAAAAGGTGGAGATTCTTCGACAAGAAATCGACCTATCGCCCCATCCGAATTCCGATTGGATTGTGGATTCGACTGAAAATCTACATGCAGTGGAGCTTTCTGGTCCGAGATGACCTCGCCCGAACGGGTCAGTAAAGAAAAGGAATGATTTGTGACTTAAATTTCTTTTTCTAAGTAACCATGCCTGCCCTGATTATTCTGTAACACTGCATATTGTGAAATTCATTTGTGCATCAGTCAGTCATCAGCCTTTGTCCATTTGCAAATTGTACCATTTTATAGGCCTCTCTTCCCTCTTTCATGCTGTTTTTGAGTATCTATTTCCAATTTTGATATCTCCAAGGCTCCAACAAAACTATAAGGCTCCAAATTGATATCATCTTGCCAGGACGCAAAAGATTGTAAAGATGGATTGAACAATCCCACAAACGAACCAGTATATGTGGACTGTTTGGGAGATGAAAAATTATGATGAAAGCGATAAAATCGTATAAAAGTTTTGATATTTAAACTATTTTGTCGTTCGTTTTGGATGAAAATGCGGTAATTGTGACCTCTTGGGTGAATCAATGACTGCATCAAAGATGCACTTACTAGTACTAGTACATCTGATTATCTCGGACCTACACCGAGGTATTGACAGAAGAGAATTTGATACGATGAGATAGAATGCAATAGAAACAAAGGCACAGGGAACAGAACGGGTTACTTGCTCTTAATGGTTAGCGAATGCAATAGAAACAAAGACACAGGGAACAAAACGGATTACTTGCTCTTAACGGTCAGCGAACGAATTCGGAATAAATTATTTAAAAAGTCTAAAAAATAATATTATTAAGAATATTTATTAAAATTTAAATTGTGTGAAAGTTCTCTATTTATAATTAAATAAATTATAAGAAATGGAATATTTGTCTATAATAAAAGATCAAATATAATATATAAACTATAATTCAGAATATTCTTAACCGGTATTATGTTTAAAAATATCTATAAAATTTTAAAAATTGAATTAACACACTTATTTTACAATATATAAATGGAAATTGTGGACGTTTGATTATCTCAACTTTTCAATGTTACTTTTGAAAGTTCATGATATTTTTATTACTTATTACGATAAGGGTATTTTTGAACTTTTAAAAAATGGAAACGTGTTACTATAAATAGGGTATTATTAAAGAGGCTTTAAATGTTATTGAATTTATCAAAATAATTTGATAAAAAGTTGAATAATTGAGTGATAACTCTAAATCTAACAATTTATTCAAATTCAATGCCATATTCAATTTATTCTAAATCTAACAATTAATGTTGTTGTATTATTGTTTTTGTTTTTTTAATAGAACTTCAAAATAAAATATAACAATAAAGAATAAAGATGTCGACGGAACAGAGAAACCTTTTTGTTCAATGTTCGTACTTGCAAAATTCTTCATTTATTTTTATGGTATGTTGTGGCTGTGGGATGAAAGTCCACATTGGCTAATTTAGGGAATGATCCTGCGTTTATAATAAAAAAAATACTATCTCTATTGGTACGAGGCCTTTTGGGGAAGCCTAAAGCAAAGCCATGAGAGCTTATACTCAAAGTGAACAATATCATACCATTGTGGAGAGTCGTTCCACTAACATGGTATCATGTCAATAGAATCCTAAAAATGTCGAGCAAAGGAGTCCAAAACGAAATGGAGTGGAGGCTCCTCGGGCGTTACAAAGAAAAAAAAACGGAAATTTACCAAATTAAAATAAATACATGAATTTAAAGAATACATAGATGATAGATGAAATTTAACTAAGTAAATGGTGAACATACAATGTATTCTATGATAAGCTAGGGAACAATATGACCACGAAATGTTTACGATATGATATGATTATGATACGCCATGTGGCGTAAATGATGGATATATATGTATGTATGTATGTATGTATGTATGTTGTGATATGATATGAAATATGTTATGGTACGAGATATGTGATAAATTGACGAAAACGGAAAAATATTGGGACCTCATGCATTATGTGTGCTTATGCATTGAGGGATACACCTATTCCATCACAAGGGTACGAACGCGTACACCACTAAGCTGATGAAGTATCATTATGTTTTACAAAATGTTGCCGTGACAGTTACTAATTCTAATGGGTATCCGGCATAAGGAGCTATCAAAGTAAGCTCACCCGACAAGAAAAGGGGCCTAGTGGTGTGCGAACTGATTGGTGAGTTCATACTCGCACGTATGAGTTGTGTGTAGAGTATATGGTACACATCAAAGTTGCACATTAGGATAGTGTCGTAGGAAAATAGACTAATATGATAGGTTTCATCATTGCATTCACATGTCCTTGCATTTAACCCCAATAGTGGAGTAACTACTTAGTATTTTTTTAAATACTCAAGCCACTTTTCACTCACGATAATGACAACATCGCAAGACATTCCTATACAGCTAATGACGACATCGCAACTCAGACTATAACACATGTATAGGTTAGTCATATTTATTTTCTTATACTTCGGCTAGAATAGGATGTTTTTAATTTAAACGTTTATTGATTTTATTTAGTCTTTTGTTGCGTCGTTTTTTAAAGATGTTTTCAAAACACGCAAGTCCATGGCTATATTTTAAGATGAAGGTGACGTTTTATAAAAGTTTAAATGAATATTTCCGCATTCAATATTCATGATATGTTTTCAGTGGTAACCTTAAATTAAGTAAAAAAATTTGAGTCGTTACAAAAGGCCCTATTCGGAGACCCAGGACCATTTTCACTCACGATAAGGGCATTAACATGAATTAGCATCGATACACTAGTCTATCTAACCAATATGAGTCAAGCTTGATAGTACTAAAACTTGAACTCATCGATAGGGGTAGGGACACTATTATGTCTAAATCTTTGTCCCTAGTAGCACACTAATTTACCCGTGTGAATAAGAACTGGTCTCCGTTCTGGTGATACCGTTCACGACCATTAATAGACATGGTAAGCTATCACAAGTTCTCAAATTATTACTTCTAAGACTTTTTGGACTAGCTCTTGGGGCTAATCATAATCGGGAAGCACTAAAGTTAAAGTTCCTTGATCATAACTCATAATTCATGGGTGCTCGGATTATTAGAAACATCTATATATTAGCGATCACAAGATCTACTTAGAATTATTAGTGTTTTTGTTTCTTTAAATAGCAATTAATGACGACAAAAAGCATTATGATTAAAAGTATATTTTGTACGAAGTGTGCCTGTAAGTGTTTCATTCTACTTCGATTATTTGTTTCGGTGTGCTTCGATTGACCTACGGAAACTTCAGGAGTATTTGTGTAATTTAACTTTAAAAGTAATCAAACAATAGAATAGCTTCAATCGAACTACGAACACTTATAACAAATACAAGAATCGAAAAGAACAATAGGATCTATCTCAAACAAAGAACATATTGGCCATGATAGTGATGAAGAGAAGCAAAGGGAAGACATCAATTTTGAGTGCCATATTGGGCGTTGTTGTTGCTGATTTGGGTAAGACATCAATGGAAAATTTCATGCCATTGTTGCAATGGTTACCATCAGTGCACACAAAATAGCGACGACGAGGAGGATTGTGTAGGGTTAAAATAATGGAGGAATCAAACACTATTCCTTGTTCTATGCATCCATCATAATCCTTTTGAGATTCGGCTTCGGCGTAAGTGTGTGTCTCGTTGGCTCGTGGTACAAATTCTACATCATAAAACAAATATACATTTCTAGTTAAGATAAACCGACAAATAGTAATGATGTTCGAGATGTTTAAGAGTTTTGTTTCTCGTTTCGTTTATGTTGATATGACCTATAACTTGGATTATCCAATCAAGATCGTAATAGTTAAGTTAGATTTTGTTTTATCGGTTTGGACGGGATTGAATTTTTTAAAAATTGAAAATTCGGGTCAATTCGCAGACTCATATTTTTTTAGTCGGGTCAACTTGATCAACCCAAAAATAGAGTAACAGCACAACCCAATCCTACCCTACTTTTGGTTTGGGTAGGGTTGAGTTTTTTGAAAAATTGAAAATTTGGGTCAGTTTGCATGTTGGCGACCCGAAAATAGGGGGACAACCCAACCCAATCTTACCCTAGTTTTGATTTGGGTAGGGTTGAGTTTTTGAAAAATTGAAAATTTGGGTAAGTTCGCAGGTTGACATTTTTTTGGTCGGGTCAACTTGACCAACCCAACTCAATCCTACCCTATTACGTATCGACGTCAACTTGACCCACCCGCCCACCCACCGTTAGCATATATTTATCTGTTTTGGCCTATTACGTATCGTCGTCAACTTCACGATTTTTAAACGCGTATGTTAGGAAGAGGTTTCCACACCCTTATAAGGAATGTTTCGTTCTTCTCCCTAATCGATGTGAGATCTCACAATCCACCTCCCTTAGGAGCCCATTGTCCTTGTTGTCACACTGTGAGGTGTTTGGCTCTTATACCATTTGTAGCAGCCCAAACTCACCGCTAACAGTTATTGTCCTCTTTGGCCTGTTACATATCAACGGACAACCTCACGATTTTAAGACGCATTTGTTAGAGAAATGTTTCCAGACTCTTACAAGGAATGTTTCATTCTCCTCTCCAACTAACGTGAGATCTCACATTTTGATGCTTGTAACCGATGTTAGTGATCTATTATGACTTGTAAATATATATAATATTTGAGTTTCATAAGATTTTAGTTATTATTATTACATATATGGTAGATAAATATGATTTTTTAAATAATTAAAGAAAAATAACAACACAATCTAAAAAGAGAAGGAATTGGGTTGGATTGGGCTGTGAACTCTAGGTTGCTGAAGTCACCAACCAAACCCTAAACCCAAATTGGGTTGGTTTAGAAGATTTTTCGAACCAAACCCATGTACATCCCTGTCTAAAAATATATATATATATATATATATATATATATATATATATATATATATATATGTTTTCGTTTATTCTTTCAATAAAAAAGTAAGAACAAGCAACAAAAAAAAACGAAGAAACAAAAATAGATATCGATAATTATATTACTAAGCCTGTCACCGACAAAAAACGTGGTATTACGAGCCCATTCAGAGAAGAAGGTGAGCGTCGGAGGCAAGTTCCAACCAAAATCACCTCCAACCTCGTGGTCAACAGCAACAATGACGGGTAAGAGAGTTCCAATAATCAAGAGGCAAGCAACCGAACAAACCGAACCCATAGTTCTATTCATTTTAATGAATTGTGTTCGAATTGAGAAGAAAAACAAACGAAAAGGATGGTTTTATAGAATTTGAAACTAAGTTGAATATTGAATTAGATAGCCGTCACAAAACGCCAATGTAATTAACACGTGATTAACAAATCATTAATTACTCTCTACGGCCACCTTTTGACCACAACCCAAAATTAAAATACTTGAAATTATTAATAGCCTCCTTATCATGTTTTTTAAGGATGTTTTGGAAGGTTTTGAAGACAATATATATTAGTTTGGAATGGTAAGATCTGAAGCAAATCATGGGGCGTAATGTTATATGTTGGATAAAACATTTTTACTTGCTCTTAGTGAAATACCCGAGCCCCATCGAAAAATTAATTATCTAATATAGACTTCATGCATATTTTATGTCACGAGTATTGAGATACTTTCTCAGTTTGATTAGTCCAGATGCATTCATCATGATGATGATACACACTCCTTTCCCTTTGTGGCTTCTAACAACGTGAATATGTGCTAGACCGTAGTTAGACTCCGGTGTATGCATACAAGCCCATCTAGTGAGTTAATGTATGCGTGTGTGGATCGTGTATTTAGATACTAACAAATTTGTCTTTGTAAAGAAGGCATGGCATAACACTCATACCTCCTGAAGATCAAGAACCATCAGCTGAAGAATGATCAAATCCTGGATTTGGTTTCTGTGATGTAAATAAATTTGGGTACGAAAAGTATGGGTCGTCGTCGTCCATTGATGGAAGCCTCTGGGGCTGATGGGGGATCGTTATGTGTTCAGATGGTGAATCACCGGGAGAGGAGTCAAAACCCGATTTCTGTGACTCGAACCGGTGGTGGTCGGAAACATCTGAACCGGGGCTTTCTTTGTGATGTTCTGGGAAAGAATCTTGTGAATAATATGGCATAGAGCTAGAATGATGCCCTATAGAATCTTGTTGGTTTAGGTGGAATGTTTGTTCATGATCTGGTGTACTTGCAGTAGCTCCATGGAATGGATTCTCGCAACAAATTTCAGGGCCCTGATCATTCGTTTTCATTGTGAGCGTGTCGATTCTAACCTTTGTTAGACTAGCTGCGGAGCGAGCTGCAGCAGCAGCACGCTCGGCGGTTTCAACAGCAGCCTGAGCAGCTGTCAACACGTCCTGCAAATCCAAACTGACATCACTCTTTGTCCTTGAACCAGAGGGTGGGGGTGAAATTATCTCCTGTTCATACTTCAAACCATATTTCTCATCAGGTGTCCTTGAAACCGAGGGTGGTGGTGAATTTATCTCGGGTTCGAACTGTGGTTTGAAACTAAACTTCTCCTCAAGGGTCCTTGATGGGGGAGCTATAAAAGGCAAAAACTGTTTATCTTCCCCAACCGAAATATTCATTAGATCCTTGCTGGGTGAAACAGATCGTACTGGTGTCACCTCCCCACGTCTCATGTGTAAATCTTGTGGTGGGGTTTCAGGGCTACATGAATTCGTCAATGAATCGTGCTTAGTTTCAGGCGGTGGCGACGTTGACGGAGGAGGGATCATCGATGAAGCAGAACCAGGATCTATAGTAGAATGTGGAGAAACTGTTATCTTTGGAACTTCAGGGAAGTCTAACATGTCCAATTCAGAATCAGAATCAGGTTGTGGTGCATTGTATGCTTCATTGTGTTTCTCTTGAGGAAGGGGCAATTTTGATGGGCTGACAAACTGTGCTGATCCATTCTGCAAAGAAAGAGCAGAAACTAAGACATAAAGAGTCACCACAAGTTGAGACAAACAAAAAGAAGCAACACTTACAAGCAAATCTTCTGGTGATTTGTTATACTCGGCTTCAGTTCCAACAGGATCCCAATCTACGTCGTGTTCTTCGGCGATTTCCTTTAAGAGCTTCAGTTTCTTCTCGGGTGAAGGAGCACGAACAGAAAGCAGCTCTATCAACTGCAATCAAAATTAAGAGGAAATATATAATCCTATAGACTGCAGTAAAGCGCTTTCCTTCTATCCCCCTACCCGATAGTTATATGTAGTAAGCCGTTGTTGTTGCCTTTTGCTTACATTCTCATATAACACCAATTTCAATTTCTCAACTCTTGCTTTCAAAACTCTCTTTCGAAATCTCTCTGCCCCCGTTTTCTAAAACTTTCTTCTTGAACCAGGGCTAGAGGCTCGAGCATATGTCGCTTGGCCGTAGGCAACGCAAGAACAAATAGGCTTAACTCACTTGCTACTGAGAAGTGAGTGTCGCACAATCACAAGTTCGCTGTCATCAAAGTGCGATTGTGACTAATCGAACGTAAACAAGAAATTTTACGAACCTGACGGTTAACGCCACAGTTAGGCATGAGCTCAGTTGCAGCTGATACAAATTCCTTCCCGTATTTAACAGCAAAAAGCAACTGAACCTGGAGAAGCTCTGTAAGATCAGCACACCTTGGAGCAGCAAAACACACACTCGAGATTGCTTCTTTCAAGTCTAGAGGACATTCCCTGAAAATTTTGACAGTTCACGATGACACTCAATACAAAAATAAAGTACAATGGGGCATACGTTTCGATAAAATAACCATAAGAAACAAAGTGAAATTGGAATGAAAAGGCATAGAAAGACATAGCATTTATGAATACAGATACCAAAATCACATTGGACTGGATGAAATAAAAATGAGACGAGATGGAATATCTAGATGCTGGCTGTATCTAATAAGCACCGATTAAGCAAGGAACGCATGGAAATATGCCTGCATTCTCTGTAACAGAGAAGACAACGTAAGACTTAAAAAAAAATTACAGTTAAGATGGTTGAGGATTGTTGGGAGAGGAGTCTCACATCGGCTAATTAAGGGGTTGATCATGAGTTTATAAGTAAGGAATACATTTCTATTGGTATGAAGTTTTTTTGGGGGAAACCAAAAGCAAAGTCATGAGAGCTTATGCTCAAAGTGGACAATATCATACCATTGTGGAGGTTCGTGATTCCTAACATGGTATTAGAGTCATGCTCTTAACTTAGTCATGTCAATAAAATCCTCAAATGTCATACAAAGACGTTGTGAGCCTTGAAGGTGTAATCAAAAGTAACTTAAGTGTCTCGAACAAAGGGTGTACTTTGTTCGATGACTCCAGAGAGGTAGTCGAACCTCAATTAAGGGGAGGTTGTTCGAGAGCTCCATAGGTCTCAAGGGGAAGCTCTATGGTGTACTTTGTTCGAGAGGAAGATTGTTGAAGATTGTTGGGAGAAGAGTCCCATATCAGCTAATTAAGGGGTTGATCATGGGTTTATAGGTAAGGAACACATCTCCATTGATATGAGGCCTTTTGAGGAAACCAATTAGTTTTTCGTAGGTTTAGCAATCATCCACAAACAACTAGATTTCTGCTTTTTGTAGGTTTAGCAATCACCCACAAAGAACTAGATTTCTACTTTTTGTAGGTTTAGCAATCACCCACAAGGAACTAGATTTCTACTTTGCAAGGCTTGGTGTTTTAAATCATCCAGAGTCGGAGAAATTGGATGACCAGGTTGGACAACTAGCTCGTTAACAATGAACACTATTCTAAGACTTAACTCCCATCATTGTGGGATGAATTTCCAATAGTCCAAACTCATAGGGAAGAATATTCTTTACGTAATTCACTAAAATTCTTCATATGCAAATATGTATTCAAACTTTAAAGTGAAGTAACACCATATTTCTAATCTGCATTTGTATCAATCAAAAGAGTAGTAGAGCACATATAGGGATGATACTCATAGTTATACAAAGACGACAATAACCCGAGAAAAAGGGCCACAAGCCATTTTCAATTAGACAAGAAACACAGTTGAGAAAAATTCACTTCGTTCAACAACCATAAGGGACTGTAGGTACAACATCGGTGAGAAGGATTTTTTTCCTCTTTTTTTTTTTTTTTTTTTTTTTTTTTTTTTTTTTTTTTTTTTTTTTTTTTTTTTTTTTTTTTTGACATTAAGTACATGATGATGCATCTGCTCAGTCACAAATTATAAATGAAATCCTCAACCAAATATTTTTAAATTGATTTTATAAATGCAAAACATTAACAACTATACTCATTTAGTCATTTTTTCAGCACAACAAAAGTGAGGATAGGGATTTTGTAATCGCCCAAGCTCACCACCAACAGATATTGTCCTCTTTGGGTTTTCCCTTTCAGGCTTCCGCTCAAGGTTTTTAAAACGAATCTGCTAGGGAGAGGTTTTCACACTCTTATAAAGAATGTATTGTTATCCTCCCCTCATATGTGGGATCTCACAATCCACCCCCCTTCAGACCTCAGCGTCCTCGCTGGCACACCTCCCGATATCTAACTCTAATACCATTTGTAACAGCCCACGCCCACCACTAACAGATATTGTCCTCTTTGGGCTTTCCCTCAAGGTTTTTAAAACATGTTTGCTAGGGAGAGGTTTTCACACCCTTATAAAGAATGCTCTGTTCTCCTCCTCACCCAACGTGGGATCTCACAGATTTGAACCTTGAACCCCAAAGGAAGGAGTGTGTTCCTTAACCCCTAAGCTACATTCATTTAGTCATCTTTATTTAAAATAAAAGGAAGAAGAAGAAGAAGAAGAAGAAGAAGAAGAAGAAGAAATAGGCAGTAAACAACCATAGCATTTCCTATTCGTATCATTTTCCCATTATAATCGTTGTAATCTTTTTATAAGTACCCTAACTTTTATAATTATGATAAACTTTTCTTACTTCCTATTGCAAAAGTTTTTTTGTAAATCCTATGGATAGAACTTCCTCATCTTTTGTAATTTCACATTATCAATGAAACTAAAGAGAAAAAAGGGTTTCATTGATTAAAGTTCACATATATTAGATATAGTGGAAAGCTTTTAAAGGTCGAGCTATCTGCTTCAAACCGAATTCTGCAGGTTGAAGGACAAGAATCCATGAAAACACTGCAACATAGTCACTCAGTTTCATTTAGAATCCATGAAAGCACTGAAAATTTACCTTTGTGTTTCAATAATTGGAAGACGAACAACA